GGTGGCGTTGGGCGGGGGCGCGTGGCCCCTGCCCGGCGACGGCGCCCCCGACGCTGGCGCGTCGCCGCCCGAGCCGCCCCGGGGTCGTGGAGTGCGCCGTGGGTGGCAAGGACTTCTCCGGCGTGAGCGATGTGGACATCGCCGGGGCCGAGGGGGTGGAGCCAGATCGCATGGGCGAATCCCAGGCGTGCAGGCCTATTCCCAAGAGCGAGAGGGTCGGTGTGAAGCACGTAGCTAGGGGTGGGAGAGTGATGCGTCGCGGGGTGGTCTGGGCGAGGTTCGCGTGCAGGGAGTTTAACAGCTGCCGGGGCTTCTATGTCTTCGCGGTCGCTTCGGGCTCGATCGCTGGGGGATTTCTCGATGCGTGGGTCATGTGCAATGGGCTGTGCGCTGGCATTCTTGATGTGGCATCTGCGTTCCTTCGATTGCCCGAGCAAGAGCGAATAATTGCGGGCCCTCTTGTCGAGTGGCGGGGTGCTCGCGGGGCGCGAGGTGGGTCGCGCGATGTTGTTATATGCAGGGGGCTCTCTGCGGGGGGGCGCTGGCGTGGGCGGACTGGCCGGCGGAAATCTTGATCGAGATGGGCCTGGGGCAGAGCGAGACAACCCCGGCGATTGGCAAGGAGAAAGAGCCCATCAGGCTGAGGCTGAGCGCCCGCGTGGACGACGGGTACGGGGGCGGACTCGCTCGAAAGGTGTTGGGCTTCGTGGCGGAGTTCTCGAAGCGATTGGTCAAAATGTTTCGGGGTCTCTGGTGGTGAGCAGTCGCTTCTTGTTTCTCGGTGGCGAGCGGGTGTTGTGAGCGGGTCCTACCGTTATCAGGCCTTCGGCAAAGTGCATCGACAAGTGCCTCGGCAATTCCTGGCTACAGGGTTGCAAACGAGTAAGGGCGACATGGGGCGATGCTGATTCGGGTCCGTCTCGTGATGATGCCAGACTCTCATGCGATGATCATTTGCTGTTCCTGAGCGCACTGGGCGTCGCTCCACTTCTGAGTATTCATCGGGCCGACATACTGTTCGCGCTGAAGTAGTTCGGCAGATTCCTAGCGGCGCCCACGCAGGGCATGCGCAGGGCGACTAGAAATTTGGGACCATACTTTGCTGGGGCGCGAGATGATGCAGTGGTATTGCGCAAGCCTTGGGTGCGAGACTCGAGACAAACTCATCCTATTCATGTGATCGCAGATGCGACCGGGGCAAACTGTGCCATTTCGGGGTAGTCTAGCCATTGCGTTCACATTTGCTTCGGTGGAGCGGTGTGCGATCCAGAGCGTGGTTGCAAAATCATCTAGCGAGGCAGAGTGGCGCGGCGGCGTGGCAGGGACTGCCGGCGCGCTGCCGACGGCCACTTTCATGCGGTGGCTCGGTTGGTCGATAAACATCATGTCCCGCATGGGCATCCATGTCGCGAGGGGTATGGCGCAAAATATCTGGATCGGTCGTATGCGAGGTGCGGAGGTCAGGACGTTGTTGATTCAACACAAAGAGAAGTCGAAGCAGGTCAGTGTTCATCCAATGAAGGGTGAAATTGATGATGCGCACGTTGGGAAAAAAGGCCTGAGCGTTTAACGCGCGTTTTTACTCTCCAAACAGTGTGCTCTTATCAAGTTTACTAGAGGAATGAGACTAGCAGGTGTGAGCTTGCTGGATTGCTTAATGAGTTCCTGTGTGTGGCTGGGCGTCTGCCTTAGAATTCTGGCATAGTGCAAGTCGCTTGAAGTTCGTAAGCGTGGATTAGAAGAACATCTGTTTCAAACTGGTCAGTGCCGATCGGCGCCCCGAAGAGGATGTGAGGCATCATGTTCCCGGGAGGCCTTCTGGGAACATGATTTTGACGGCCTTGTCAGGTGTGCCAGCATGTAGCATGCATAATGATCAATCCCACTACGTTGGAGAGCAGTTGCTTAGCACCGCAAGCACTTTGTCTCAAGGGCAAGACCGAGTTGATAAAGACGTCCGCATCGTTCGTCCGTGTGTATGTACGTATGTATGTTTGTATGTATGCACGTGGGCATGTATGCATGCATGCATGTATGGATGCATGTGTACACGTATGCATATATTTATGCATGCATGTATGTATGCATCAATATATGTATATTTGGACGCATATTCGTGTGCATGTGTGTATACATGTATGTGTCGATGTATGCATGTACATATTTATGTATTTATGTGTGTATGTGTGTATGCGTGTATGTGTTTACGTACGTACGTACGTATGTATCATGCATGCATGTCTGTATGTCTGTATGTATGTCTGCATGTATGTATGTATGTATGTATGTATGTATGTATGTATGTGTGCATACATATATATACATAAAAAAAGAGACAGAGAGAGAGGAACAACAATAGAGAGAGAGAGAGAGAGAGATATATAGAGGGATAGAGAGAGAGAGAGAGAGAGAGAGAGAGAGAGAGAGAGAGAGAGAGAGAGAGAGAGAGAGAAAAAACGAGAGAGAGAGAGAGAGAGAGGGGGCCTTCGGCCCATCCCACCACCGTGTCTGGATTGTGGGTCTGAAGCCTATTTGCTGTTCGTTGGGATTTCGTGGGGGGCCTCTCGGCCCCTTTTGCAGGCAGTTCGGTGGGGGCCGTTTGGTGTCTTCTGGGGGCCTCTTTTTGGATTCTTGGGGGCCTCTTGGGGCCTCTTGTGCGCCTCTTGGGGGCCTCTAGGGCCTCCTGGGCGCCTCTTGGGGTCTTCTGGGGGCCTCTTGGGGCGGAAGGCTAGGATTTTTGGTTTGTGATCTTCCTTGTTGGCACCTTTCGGAGCCGTCTTGGGGCCCTCTTGGCCCGTTTTGGGCGCCTCCTGGGCTGTCTTGGGGCCTTCTTGGGCTGTTTGGGGCCCTCTTGGACGCCTCGTGGGCCGTCGTGGAGCGGCCCCTTTACGTTGGCGTGGGAGCGTCGGGAAACCCCACAGGCGAGAGCGCCAGCATCCTACAACGACTGGAGGACATCGATGATTTTGGCCTCCTGGGGCCTCCCCTGGGCGGCCATCTTGGGCCGCCTGGGGGCCACCTTGCGCGTCTCCTGGCGCGATCTTTCGGCGACGCGGGTCCCTCTTGGACCGTCCTGGGGGCCCCTTGGGGCCCTCCTGGCCTGTCTTGGGGCCCTGCTGGGCCCGAGCACCTCCTCCGACACCGCTCGGGGGAGCCCAGCTGGGCACGCGCCACGCCCCCCGGGAGGCTCGGGCCGAGGGCCCCGAGCCCCCTTGGAGGGCTCCTCGGGGCTGAGGGCCGAGGCGCAGAGGCGCAGATGAGGGGACCTGAGCACGCGCCTACTCCGCGCCCAGCAGCACGGTGGCGGATGGACGGACGGATGGATGGATGGATGGATGCATGCATGGATGGATGGATGGCTGGTTGGATGGATCTATAGTCATACATATATACATATACATATACACATATATGTACACATGTCGGTCTCTCTCTCTCTCTCTGTATACATACAATCACATATTCACATATACAACCATCTCACGGTGTCGTGTCTTCGTTTTTAATTGGCAGCACCCCGCGTTCCTGACTCCCCCCCCCCCTCCTCCTCCCCTCCTCCTCCCCTCCTCTCCTCCTCCTCCCTCCTCCCTCCTGATCCCTTCCTCCTCCTCCTCCTCCTCCTCCTCCTCCTCCTCCTCCTCCTCCTCCTCCCTTCTCCCATCTCTACCTCTGCCCTCGGCATGTCCATGTCGGCTCACCCCTCGCACGTGATGTGGCCCCACATGGAGCTTCACCGAATGCCCCGCTTGCAGGGGCCGCACGGCAGGGTCCGCATGCTGGCCCCGGTCCATTTCCGCACCCCCCTCACGCTTCTCGTGGCATCCCATGGGGAGCTCCACACCAGGCCGCTGTGGCAGGGCCCGCATTGCGGCCTCGCCCCATTTCAGTACAGCCCTCACACTTTTCGTGGCCCCGCATGGAGCTCCATCGAAGGCCCCAGCGGCAGGGTCCGCATGACGATCCCGCCCCATTTTGGCATATTCTTCACACGTCTGGTGGCCCGATGGGGGCTGCACCGAAGGCCCAACTAGCAGGGGCCGCATGACGGGATCCGCATGGCGGCCTCGCCACATTTCTGCACACGCCTCGCTCGTTTGGTGGACCCGTGGGGAGCTCCACCGAAGGCGCCAGTGGCAGGTCCGCGTTGCTGCCTCGCCTCATTTCGACACACCCGTCATACGTTTCGTGGCCCCACAGGAATCTCCACCGAGTGCCTGAGCGGCGAGGCCCGCATGCTGGCCCCGCGTCGTGTCGGTACACCCCGGGCACGCGACGTGGCCCCGAAGGGAGCTCCACTGAAGGCCTATATGGCAAAGTCCGCATGGCGGCTCCGCCAAATTTCGGCACACCCCGCCCCTCACACGTTTCGTGGCCGCACGTGGAGATCCACCGAGGGCCCCAGTGGGTGGCAGGGTCCGCATGACGGCTTCGCGTCATTTCGGCACACCTCTCATACCTTTCGTGGTCCCGTGGGGCGCTTCACCGAAAGCCCAAGTAGCAGGGGCGTCATGACAGGGTCCGCACCCATCTCGGCGCACTCCTCACGCGTTCCGTGGCCTCATTGGGAGCTCCAACGAAGGCCCCAGCGGCAGGATCCGCATGCGGTGCTTGCCCCCCTCTTCGATCTCACAGGTCTTGCGGTATTCGCAGCTGCATATGGTTGTGTTCTTCGCTCAGATAGTGAGCAATCCTTGGGCTTTTCGTCAATCTTAGCGTCTCGGGGGCATTTGTTGATTCCAGTGCAATCAATCATGGTTCGGGGGTGAAGAGCTACTCCCGGAGAAGAGCGAAGCATCAGGCCGTCGGACGTCTGGACGGG